TGATTTACGTCCCAAGCATAAACACAATTACTCAGTGTGAAGTGATTGAGCCGCTGTGGAAAGAGATGGAAGCTGTGTTGACCAATTCTAAGTCCACATTGGATGATTTCATCGCTAGTCATGCGGATTTCTTGGACACATGCATCATCCAGTGTATGCTCACAAGCGAGCCGGTGCTAAAGGTATGTTCATACGCCGCGGTATATTTGTATACACTAAGAGAAAGTTATAGGGTTTGGGGTTTTTGACTGATATATATATAAACACTTCCCAATGCAGCATGATATTATGTAAACATGGAAAATATAACCTCTGGTGATGTTTCTAAACAATGCACTTTTCATCTCGGTGCGGCTATGGGAATACAGAAGTTTTGTGGTCTTGTTTCGAGCCTTTGGTACCGAACTGTAAATGAAGTGTGTGCATGGGTACCTGGAATCGTATTCTGACCCGAGTGAAAGTAACGCGAACATGCATTCATGCGGAAATACATATATTGCGACCTATTGGAGCGTGTTCGTAGAATAGGCACAGGAGCGTTGGCTGAAAGCTTACTCATATTATCTACCGAATACCTGGACTGGCCACACATATCATTTGGTAGCATTATAGTATATCCAAGCATTTGTACTACACAATCGTTCATGGGGGGGGGTGCAGCCTCAGCTGCACGCAAAGGACCTCTTATCAAGGTAGCACATTCATATGGAATGTTACAAGCATGCAAGTCATGCCATTAATCGAGTGCTGTCAGTTATAATGAGCCGAAAGTATTGACAGTAGTGCTCGAAAAGAAAGAATGTAGCGAGAAACCTGTGGGATTTTTTGAGCATGGATATATAATGCATTACACAGGTTCCAAAACAGCTCGAAGAATTAGGAAATGTATTGGAAAAACTTCTCGTAAAAATGCTCATACCGAATATTGTACGACAAAAGTCTGAGAATGCTGAGAATGGTGTAGCATATTGCGTACCTCTCCCCCGACCCGTGATACTGACTTCTACTTCGACTGGGCCATTGCTTTGCCGCAGACTATATACAAACTCCTCATGATCTGCCGAGACTTCACCGGCATGTTCTCCAGTCTGGTGTCGGTATGTTGATGAGTCTATATCCGGGTCACAGTACTCTATGTAGCCATACATGGATGTGGGCCGTGTGTTTTATACCAATGTACATATATGTGTAGTCAGCTCCATCTATTGTGTCGGTATGTTGACGAGTCTATATCCGGGTCACAGTACTCGTTGTAGCCATGCATGGATGTGGGGCCGTGTGTTTTGTACCACTGCACATGTATGTGTAGTCAACTCCATCTTCAGCAGCTTGTTCAGTATGCCGCAAACCAATTGCTTTAAAACCTACAAACAATTATACGACACAAGCACCAAATGTAGACCATAGATGTGTCTTGCGAACAGAATATCCCGCGTATTGTGACATATAGGAGTATATGCAGATGAATAGAGCTTCACATCACAAGATTTGATATATATACATATATATATATATATATATATATATGTGTGTGTGTGTGTGTGTGTGTGTGTGTGAGTGAGTGTGTGTGTGTGTATATATAAATGGCACGCACTCGGTTTACACCCGTACTTTCCGTGGTTGTAGAAGCACCTACATGCACTCGTCCGCACAATAGAAACAGATAGATATATATTTTTGTACTTACTTATATAGCATGAATACATATTCAGCCCAGTTATATTTGAATTCTCGCGTACAGATGTACGTGACGTGTATATTGATACGGTTTAGCACGCCCACCATATTCAAACTCGCTTTGTGTTTCTCTTTGACGGTTGTATAGGGCTCCAGAGACCAAACTCATCTCCAGTGGTATACTCAGACCGAAACCCGGTTCGGCGAACTCGGGCTGGACCTCATCAAAGGGTAAGTTGTTGCTCACAAGTGGCACGTTCGACTGCCATTTCTCACCAACCGTGCGTATCTGCAATTCATGGATCTCAGAATGTGCGATATAAATGGCCTAGTATGCTCACTATTTCGTTTCGAACGAATTGAACCCGTGCATATTTTGTTGGCATATGCGTCGCGGACTATTCTTATTCTAATACATTCGCTACATGTGTGTATAGTTGATATGGGGCGGGCGAGATAGTATTAGTTTCAGACTGATAAAATACAAAAACCAGACAGATGTATGACACCTATAGCGTTGAAAGTACTATCAGGTTCATACATATATATATATATATATATATATATATATATATATATATATATATATATATGTTGTGTGTGTGTGTGTGTGTGTATATGTGTATGTATATATGTATGTGTATGTATGTATGTATATATGTATGTATGTATGTATGTATGTAAATATATATATATATATATATCCACGGCTATCTCGATAGTCTGCAAAAGCTGACCTGGCTACATATTGTCGAACTGTGTTGTAACATCGCGGAATTCATCTTCAAATTGAGTACAGGGCATATACCATTCTCGTACACACAATTTGCTCTATCGTCTGCTTTAGTATCTGCGTGGAAATACGCCAAAATAGAGTTGCTTCACTGTCTTTAATCTGGACTGAGGAGCTACTCAATGCATATATATATATATATACATATATATGTGTGTGTGCGTGTGTGCGTGTGTGATTGTTCCTCTCTTATCACCTATTTTCATGATGTATTTTCTTTCAACTAACAAAGGTGCCTCTTTTCATCTGTTTTCATTGGATATCTTTAGCCTGGAGTAGATAATCTAATCTATCTGTTCTCATTATATATGTCCAGCCTGAGGAAGATATCGAATTTGAATCAAGACGGGGAGAAGGCCGCCAGTTTCTTGCGTAGTCTGGAGTGCTTAACGTAAACATCGCACCGTCTCAAAATCTGTACAGCCGTCGAGGTACCCATACTGTAGTGACAGCAGCTGCCAATACCGCCGCACCTACATACCGCGCTGTTTTTGCACACTTTAATAATGTAGTCATATCATATTGTCATATAACGTGGGGATGTCACATGTCGTCACTATTGTCACACAACTTGTGAGTATGTCTCATGTTGTCGCACACTATCGCTTCTCTTGCTGGGATGCCAGAATGGTTTTTCTCGTTCCTTGGGCAAGTGTACTATTGCAGAGCAGTAGTCCGTTGGACAACTGGTCCTATTCGCCGGTGTCACACTACTGGCACGTGGCTGCCATCGGATTCAACAACTCCGATGTGGATGCCACGTGGTCTCACATTCGTGACGTATTTGTCGCATGTTGACAGACCCTGAAGTCGTATGTACACCCGGTGTCGTATTCTCAATATAAATGTCACATTATTACGAATCGGACTTGAGTCCGTTGGGACTTGGGATGTATATACTTTTTCTTCTCTAATGAAGTGTATGGTGCACACTGCACAACAGAAAGAACTAAGAACCTGTGTAAATACATATCCTGCGAGAAACAACATGTATTGAGTAACGAGTATAGATCTCTGCAAGATATACATACAAAGCTGGGATCTTTTATAACATCACATGATGTTTTTTTAACGTAACGCGGTACGTCACACGTCACATGGTCCGATGGCTGATACCAGAAATCCTTTTGATCGAGCTACATCTCTCTGCTTGGGTATGACCTAACCAATTAATAAATTACTAAATAAACACATATATTTACTGATTTGCAATTATATTTGGTCTGCGAGGAATGAGCTGCCTATCCTGGAATAAATTTAGGTTAAACGAATCAACAAAGAAGGTAAATGACCGCCAACAATGAACAAGCGTACCAATCAACTCAAAATCGCACACCAATATCGAGGGCACGCTCTGTTTTTAAAGCATACACCTACAGCTGTGATGCCATAATTCCCTGTGTCTACGAAACTAATACTTGCGTTTACAATTCAAGGGGCGTCCCGATGAGCCTTTCGTGTTCTTGTACGAACCATATGATAATCCACCCGTTGAAATGGAAGGTCAGGGTGTATTCTTATCCTTATCAACTATAAATCGGTACCAGATACCAGGATGTTCTGATAGATTTTATTGTCGACAACTCGTGATAGTTATTATCGATTTTCTGTAAAGCCATTGCTGCATAGTTGTTTTCAAAAGATATACTTCTTTATGCTCTCAATACGATTGAAGCGTAAAGGTTGAGTGATTTAGTTACAAATCCTTAAATTCACAGGAAATACAATATTCCTTGTCCCCCCCCCTCCTTGCAGAAAGTTAGAGTCAATGCCGCAGACACGCGGTTATACATGTTACCCTTGAACAGGGGTGTTGGTGTTGCTAATGATTGGCAGTAAATAATGTCCTTCGTAACATTACGCGCTGTCAGCACGCGAATCTCGTATAACGTTCAAACAAACACTGTGTATTGTAACTGCATCGCTCATCCGTGTTGATATTTCTCGTTCCGTTTGGGGTTGGGGTTGTAAACCTCACGGAATACCTGGTCTAGGCATAGTCGAAGGAGTAACGGGCAACGATCGCGTTGGCTTGGTGATCGGTTCTTTCGGTGCCGCCATAAGCCGTTTCCTTCGTTCTGTAGTTGATTGTGTGCGTAGCTTTCTTGTCTCCGGTGTTATTTTCTTATGATTCGACGAGTTAGTCTCAAATATATCGCTTGGAAACCCGATGCTCTCATTGCTGCCATCGGACTTCATATCGGACAACTGCTGCATAGTTTCGGGGGATGCATCAACCGCATCTGAGAAGAACATACGCCTCTGTTGCTCTATTTCACACTGACGTAGTGCCTTTTGGTTCTTGCTGGCTATGGGCACATTCATACCCAAAACACGGGTCGAGCTGGTCTTGCCAGCCTTAAGCTCCAAAACTTGTTTATAGCTTTCTAATTGCTCATCGTTAAGATCTCGATAGTTTGTACAGGCGGTAACCATTGTTTCGATGTTACAGTATAATAGTAGTTTGCACACCTCAAAACTGACATGAACTGCCTTATATATATACTGCCTTCCAAACACTCCCAGCACTGAGTAGGGAGCAGTCCGTCGGCGTCGGTCCCAAAAAAAAAAACACACACGGCAATATAAAACAGCACCTCTGTCCTAAGCTTGTTTCTGAGAGTGTCCTCTCACCTCTGAGATCAGTCATCAGCGGAGCCCAGTGATCACAATTTTACTCTTCTGATTGCCTGACACTTCCCCACCAGAGACTAAGAGTTCAGAACTTCAGAAGTTCAAAGTTTCAGTTTTTTTAAGTTCACATAAATATTCTTGGGTGTTTTAGATGTTCAGTCTCAGACTTCATCAGTCTGTCTTCACTCTTTCAGACAGTGACCCTTCACTCATCAGTGTTCTTTTTTTAGGAGGCTATGGCTGTTATGCAGGTGTCTAAAACTCTAAACTCTAAAGTCTAAAAACTCTATAAAAAAAGTCTAAAGACTCTAAAACTCAGTGACAGAAACTGAACTAAGTTTATGATTTTTAGAATAAAATGTATAAGCTGAATTTGTGTACGTTTACATATGCTCAATGTTTACATCGATATCACAGTTGTGGCCCTATATTTGTCGATACCGGTGCATAGTCGGAGCTCTGAGGATTAACGTTTGTGTATATTTTCGTCTGGGTGATCGTTCAATTCGAGGTTCATTATTGTCTGATTTTTCGACCCACATAAACGATTAGAACATATTCATCAAAGAAAAACCCTTTGTTACTTTACGTTCCACTCTATATGTAAAAATAAATTGTACACTTTTATAATTTAAAAAAATGTAAATCGACTCGTTTTTGAGGTTTGTTCTGAATTTCTGAAACTTCTTAAAAAGGAGTAAAATTATACTGAATTTCATTGGTTTTATTGTTTATACAGTTCTACTCAACACCCAATAGGAAGCTATTATTTTGGATCTAGGAAGGTTTACAATTTATAGGAAAGCGTGTTCGTATGACGCCACTTACAGAATTCAGAATTGTAAAATTCATGCCGCACTCCGGAGTCCGGACCGCACAGTCGGACTGTCCAATGTCCACAGTCTGTCGCAGTGACGTTGTCGACTAGAAGAGTCGCCCGGCTCAACGGGTGTAAAAAAAAATTATATATATATTTACATAATTCAATTTGGCCTGGAGTCCTGGTCCCCTGGGACCTGGGACCTGATATGGCTGGTAATTGGTATACGACAAAGACAATGTCTTCTCTATTTAGTATAATGAATTCAGAATTACTGAGTTTCCGACCCGTCGCGATATGAATTCTTAAGAAATATCATGACGTATATCGGACTTATGTGTGTCGTCATAGCGAAGTAGCTTCCGACGGTCGTAAACATATGTCGTCATAGCGAAAAGTGCATCAGTACCTTTTTTTAACAAGGCGCTTAAAAATATCAGCCTTTAGGTGCAATTGATGAACCCGATACTTAAAATAGAGACTATGCTATTGGTTTATTATAAACACGAAGGTTCCATTGACAAACATTTGTTTCGAAAGAAAATACATATGTCGGCAAATATAGTGTCGAGGACACGTCCGACAAAATGTCGGGACGACATGTATTGAACAACTGCATGTCGTATCATAGCCAACTGATATCAAGTATAGGTAAAGGTCGGCGTCTTTCATACCAACGCAGGTAAATATAAATATATGTTACGTACCGCGTACGTATGCTTTTTGCACGTGAATGTCTGAATGTGGGTGGCCACAAATCCACAGTCATTTGCATAATCTATTCATTTCATAGATTGATCTATTTCGGAGGCTGTGATATTCAATGATATGTACTTGCGGCAGATTTAATATACTGTTTGGAGGACAATAAGAGAGGAGGTATTTTCATAGTCTTCTAAACCAAACAATGATGTGATTGTTCTAGGTTTGTATTTTTCTCGAGAATATTCAACTAAGAATCCTTGAGGAACTTGCGTATCAGGACTGCGCTATACTCAACGATAGTAGTTTCCAAGAGTGCAGGGCTTGTTGTGGAAAATACACCTACTATTATGTTTCTTACCCGGCAGCTTTCATACTTGTATAATTGGTCTTTAGGCATGCCTAACTTTGTGCCTGAATTTTTGGTAGACTCCGGGATGTTAGGTTATTCGAAATAGAGATTGTCTTGGTAGATCGTGCACATGCTGATGGATATCTATCTTCGTGAGCTTTCGTATACATCTGGCTTTATAGCTATAATATAGCACATTCTGAAGATTGTTTGTTACAATTTTAGGGCCAACTGAGAAAACATTAGGCTACGATAAAAGATAACCAAGGCTGGTTCAGCCTTTATATACTATTAAACATGAGCAGCACCTCTATACTACTAGTAGTCATCGAGAACTATAGCACTTCTGAAGATAGTTTGTTACTAATTTAGGGCCAACTGAGAAATCATCATGCTATGATAAAATATAACAAAGGCAGGCTCAGCCTTTGTATACTACTAAACATGATCAGCACCTATATAGTACTAGTAGTCATCGAGCTGGACATAACCGGCTCTTCTCGAACGAGGACATCAAAACCCCGTAGATACGGTTTCAGAAGACGAGTATCGTCATTTTGTACTTCACATTACATATGGCATGGTAATATACATGACCTAGGTTATACCGTACTTCTACAAAACAGTACGCACTTATCCCATATATACTTGACATATATACACCACGTATATCAACGTCAACATGTTACCTCCCTACGAGGCCGAGAGCGAGAAGAAAACAACGAAATAATAGAATACAGGTCTGCTAAAACAGCCCTGAGCATCAGACGAACAAGTTTGATTATTGTTCATTCGTCCCTTTATGTCTCTACGTATGATGGTAAATCAATATATTGACAACAAATACTTCTTGAAAAGATATGTATGCATGTATGCATGTATGTATGTATGTATGTATGTATGTATGTATGTATGTATATATATATGTATGTATATATATATATATATATAGTGTGTGTGTGTGTTGTGTT